TTCTACTGTTTCAGCCAAGCGTTGTCTTTTCTGGCTGATCTATTTTCTATTGGACAGAGTGTTTTTATCTGCTTGCCTGTTTTTATTGCAAGCTCCTTGACTACACCATTGGTTTTATATGATGTCATAGACATTATGAGCAATATGAGGAGAGCCAGAGAGCAGGGGGCAGTCATTGCAGTTTCTGATGATGATTTCTTCTGTGCGGTTTTGAGCCAGTCAATTCTCTGCTCTGTATTTTTCTTTCCTTGCCTCATGTTTTCATCCACCTCGTCTGCTTAGAAAGGCAGCTTCACAGCATAAAACTCGTGTGTGTTTTTACAGCAGGGCCTGCCTGAAGTTGGTGATGCTTTCAGAAGAAAATATATTGCATATACAGAAAAAAAGAAAAATTATTTTGTTGAGCATTTGTTATGCCAGGAGCTGTGCAGAGACTGCTCAATTTTAGCCATGTTATAGAATAATCCTTGTTCCTATTTAGGCTAAAATACATTTTAATCCTTTACCTGCAGATTTGTAGATTGAAATCCACACTTTCCTAATAGGGTAAGTTTTATTTGACCCTCATAGATAAAATCTGTGCCTGCAGCATCATCCAGTTCCAATATTCAGTTTTAGAAGTGGGAGGGCTGGGGAGATCATGACATGGATCTGAGTTAAATTCACTAACTTGTGCATGTATAAATATTTCTCCTTTTTCTTTTTTCTTCCCTGAAAGAAATTTTATTTCAGCGCAAATTTTGGCATCTCAGAAAGGGAGTAAAAACCAATTTCATGCTGCTTGGTTTCTTTGATGTGTTTCTTTGAGTTGTGTCTCCCCTTTTTTAGTACTTTCCTTATTATTGCTGTCTTCCTTGAATTGTCTTCCTCCAGTATTCCCAGATATGCAAATCTCTGTCACCGCTGTGCCGTGTTTCTGTTGTCCTCCTTCACCTTCTCCCCTGCTCTGCTGAGGTTTCCAGAAAGCTTTGTGTTCTTCTCTAGCCACCGTGTGTCCAGGTCCCGGCTCCCAGGAGCAATTCTGCTGCCTGGTCTGCACTGTGACCTGAAGAGCCCTGTCTGTTTTCCAACAACACACAAGCTAGTTCAGGACTTTACATGTGCTCTTTTGATTTCCTTGATAATTCCTTTTCCCAAGACAGATTCCATTCCTCATACAGGGTTTGCAGGCCTTAGATCCCTTTGCTTGTTGTACAAAAGCTGTCTTTATACCTCCTTCTATCAGCTGTGGCAACCCTTGGGTTCTGTCAGCCAGACCTCTTCAGTCTCGCTTCTATCTACCTCTTAAGTGCCCCCACCTTCTACCTGCTAAATTATTTAACTTTTAGAATTTGTGTTAAATGTTTGTGTGATTAACAGGTTTAGCTTTGTGAAGTGTTTCAGGATAGAACTTGAATAAAATTTTCCATACAAAGCAAAAAGTGTTGCAAATTATCATCTCAAAAAGGCTAAATTTGCCCAAGAGGATTCCCAGAGAGCCAGATTTCAGAGATTCCTGGAGAATTTGGGGGATTCCCAGGATTCAAAAGCAGATTTGATTTTACCTGTAAAACCATGCCTGCCTGTTAAAAACCAGCAGACAATGTTTTACAGACCAGGGACTGGAGACAGTGGATTTTAATGGCTTGCTTGGGGTGATTGAAAAGCGTTTGTTTTAGTTTAAAAGTAATGTCTGCAAAGTTAAACAGCTGGTTTCTCTTCTCAGTTGCAATTACAAAGTATTGCAAGCTCTTGAAGTGGAATTTATATGAAAATACTGAATAAAGCTTTCATTTGAACAATCTGTGTTTGTACCATCGTGCATCTGTTCAGGGGGTTTAGGGCAACCTGGGAGTTTTAGGGGTGCAGATTCTGTTCAAAATGGAGCCTGGGGTAAATATAAACTAAAATAGGTCTGTAAATGCTTCTTAAAAATAAATACTTCTATTTTGTGGCCACCAACAGAATATCTGTGTGCCTTCCTGTGGCACCTTAAGCAGTAACTGGATGTTGTTTCATTCTGTGCATCAGTTATGAGTAACAAAAGCCCCGGGTTTAAATTTTTGAAGTTTTTAACAGTTCAGGTTAAGATTTGTTGCAGTTACTGTTAGTAACATTCAAAATAAAGCTGAATATGTGAGCTTTTTGATTATAACCGTGATTCAGTATTTCATGTATTTGCTGGCCTTCGGAACAATGAGCAGTGCTCTGAGGGTCAGGTGCACACTCGATGACTCAATGAAAACAGTCCAGGTGAGGTACCCAGGCTGCCCTCCTTTTGCAGAGGGTGAACATCCATCTCTGCACTGCCATGGAAAGGCTGCTGCTTCCAGGCACACAGCTTTCGTCTGCCTTCCCTGCTGGCTGGGTGAGACAGTGCTGTGTGAGACCTCAGCAGAGAATGAAAGAGGTCCAGGAACTACATTTCCTATCAATCTGCAGGAGCTGCAGAGCGGTGAAGCTGGAGCCTTGCACGAGCTGTGACGTGGCGTCTGTGGGTAAGGTCCCCAGGCAATGCCGAGGGGAAGCCAGGCAGAGGGTGGAAGTTTATGTTTGCTGTAACACCATTTGACAAGGAAAGCTGCAGAAGGCTGTTTTGAGCAGAGGAACGTCCTCTTGCTCTGTTGTGTTGTTTGTTTTTTGCCAGTAAACTGTTTACCCTTTTTCTCCCCATGCTTTGTTACTGTAACTTTTCCTGCTATTGATTTCGCTGCTGAAAGTCCTGACTGCTTGTAGGAACCAAAAAGCCCAAGCTGAAATATTCCATCCTGAGAACACCTCAGAAATAGCAGTGTTATGCTGCACACCCCTTCCTTGAGGACAAGTGCCAGGCCATGGTCTAACACAATCTCTCAGCTCTTACATCCCACAGAAAGGCTGGGGTGGAAGAGCTTGGAATAAAATATGGCTTCAAGTATTTTTTAAGTTTGGAGAAAACACTTTCAAATAACGTGTTCTCGATGAGGAAAAGCAAATATATCTGGTTTTGGTAAAGCAGAGCATTGCAGGCAGTGGCCTCCAGTAGAAGTGTTTCCACTCTATCCCAAATGTCATAGCTGTATTTTGCTGACATACACGTCTATGCAATTGCAGGAAAAGCTTAGGACAAGACCCTTCAGGATTTCCTGGGCCAAGCTGGCAGAAGGGACTCAGCTTCTAAATTTCAATACCTGTATTTAGGACATCCATAGTAAAGAGGGGAGCTGTTGTCTGCTTTCCCTCTTCTCATCACTCTGCACAAAACCATCAACAAAAAAGGGCTACAGAAAATTAATCAATCACAAATATCCATAAGGTCCTGCAGAAATATAATTTTCTTCCAGTAAAATAAATGAGGCTCATATTTTTAAGTGTTTCAATAATTTTGTATAGTAAAGAACTTCACAGACACTAACTAATCCTGGAAGTGGAGTCTTATTGTTTAAATTTTTAAAGAAGGTTTTAAGAGAAACTTAGAAATGTTTGAGAGATATAATTAATAAAATTAATTGGTGCATTTAATTGCGTAATCAAAGTGAGCATGGTAATTGGATAACAATGTTAGCTGGATATTCTCCTATTACAGCTGATCATATTAGTTCTTACCAGTCTGTTGGCACTGCAAAAAATACATGCCCAGCTGCAGATCTTTCTGGAGGGTTCTTTTTCTGGACTGCTTACTGAAAGAAGTCAAAGTCCAAATGAATCCTGAATTGCATGATGATAAGTTTCCTGACTGACTTGCAGAGCAACCAATCAAGAAAAAAACAAACCAACCAACCCAACTGAAGCCCCAAAGCTTTTATAATTACAGTGTTGAAAGCAAGAAATTGTCAGACAAAGCTTGCTGATAAAAACACATAAAAGAATGGGAAAATAACTGCAGAATGGAGGAACTGAGTATAATTTTCCTGCTTTCTTCCTGTTACAAATTCTGTTTTTCTTAATATAGGTGAATAGTGTTACAATTGTTGCTATATATACAGTAATAAAAACTACACCCTTTAGAAGAACATTTTCTCACACTGCATCATTCCTGATTACAAAACAAATATGCAAATAAAACTCAACCACAAGGCATAATTTAAATTGCAACAATGAACTGGTTTTTCTCATGCAGAAGACAGTGCAGAGCAGCTTTCCAGCAGAACCCGGGATAAGCAGAATGAAAAGAAGATGCCATGATGTGGCAAGTGAACGCAGCTGAGCAGAATACCAATCTTTGTGTCACCCTGAGCACGGAGCATTCCTGAGTCAGGCACACAAGGAGTGCCTGCCGGTGCCCAGCGCCTGCCAGCGCCGAACACGTGCAGGGCAAAACATCAGCACGAGTCCTGCCAAAGCCAAGGGTGCCCTGTAGACATCTGGATCCCCTCAAGGACAGGCAAAGGCAGACATTCCCAAAGACAGGAGCTCAATTCCAGAGCTACCTGGTTTGTTGAAATGCATCTGCAGTATGAACTCGTTTTCTTTGCCAGGAGGCAGGGAGCTGCCTGTTACCTTATAAATTTAATTGAAAACTAGAGCACTTTCTTCTACACTGCAGCACATGGGCCAGTCCCACCACAAGCTGACCCAAGAATTCCTGGGAGAAATTTAACAGGTTTCTCTTACAACATTCTGACCCCTTTACTCCCTTTGCTTTTGAATATTTACTCTAAAGAAAAAATAAAGCATCTTAATAGAAAGTTATTTCTAAGGTACTTAATTTAGGAAGTTCACATAACAAGTGGAAAAAAATAAACATATTCAGGAGGCAAGATTCTAGACTATGTCAGGGGAGCTCAGTTTCTTTCACCTGGAGAGAAACATCTCCCACCACCAAATAAAAAGTGCGCTATGTGGTATTTATTCTGCTCCACCACCACAATTCTGTGCCTTTCCATGCGATACTGTCAAGAGAACGATCAGCTTAACAAAGCCCAGCTGCCAAGACAGGAGGAGTGTGCATACAGAACTCCAAGCTGATGCTTTTCTGCCAGGGCTGCTGCAATAAATTCAACCCACTTGCACCAAGATACAAAAAGAATAGTATCACACCCTGAAAAACAGAGTAATAGGTTTTAATCAACATATCATCTAACAAACACATCTGTTTTATTCGATTACCAAACACAACAATTTTGTTCTAATTCTACTTGAGGTCTTCAGCCTCCTCCTTCTAAAGCCTGCAAATTTTCTAGATATTGGGTGACAGCCTCTATCTCTGCAAACTCCAGTAATCTGTTGATTAGCTTATCCAGTGCTTCTTTCCCACTTAGAATTTCCTGTGGAAAAAAAAGCAGAAAAAAAGCATTACTGACTGTTCTTCAGCATTATTCTGAAACACCAACTACTCAAACCCCTGAAATGCACTTTGCCTGCAATCCCTCCACTTGCTCATCCTTGCAGATCCCTCCCATGTGAAAGCAGCAGTGGTGGACAGCAGCAGGACATCAGCTGCCTGCCTGTGCAAGGCACATGGATTCTGGCAGCAACAAAAGCAGCTACTGCCTTGGCCTGAAAATTTTCATGCACCTACATGAAAATTCCCTGCAAGAACAATCAAGGATTGAAGAACCTCATTCAAATAGTGTTGGCCACGGCAAGAGTGAGACTGTTTTGCAAAGCTCAACTAACTTTTGTTAGGCACTTTATGGTTCCAGTTTCACTCAAGAAAGATCCGAACACTAAGGAACTGACTAACAAAAGCCACTTTTATGCAATCAAGGAACTATTTCCTCTGCCATTAACCATGAACCATTCCATATTCGTGTATGCCCTGCACTCTGGAGGACACCTGTGGGTACAGTTTGAAAAGTGTTCCTCCTTATGCAACAGCATTTAATGCAAACTGGATACCTAAGCCAAAACATTGAGGGATCACCCTAAACTTTGTTTTTCATAAATGAATTTTTTTAAAATCCATTATTACGTTTTTTTTTCCCCTATTGTAAAAAAACCCCAGTAAACAGAATCATAGAATGGCCTGGGTTGGAAAGTGCAGAAAAGATCACCCAGTTCCAAGACCCCCTGCTATGGGCAGGGACACCTTTCACTAGACCAGGCTGGTCAAAGCCCCATCCAACACTTCCAGAGATGAGGTACCCACAGCTTCACTGGGCAACCTGCTCCAGTCTCTCCACCCTCACAGTAAAGACATTTTCCTAATATCTAATCGAAATATACCTTATTTTACTTTGAAGCCATTCCCCCTTGTCCTGTCACTACATGCTCTTGTAAAAATCTCCCTCTTTCTGGTAGACTCCCTTTGAGCACTGGAAGGCTGCAATTAGGTCACCCCAAAGCTTTCTCTTTTCCAGGTTGAAAAATCAGTAAGATTCAAGCCATATGTAGATATTTACTCAGAGACAAGATCTCAGATAATCTTAAAATGAAAACATTCCAGTTTCAGTTTCTTTTAACTGTGGGCCTGTGATGCAAACATAAAAGATTTTCTCATTCTTTACTCCAGCATTAGGAGGAGAAAATAATGGCCTAACAAAAATAAAAAGTCCTTCCTGTCAGGTTTTTGGTTTGGATGTACTATGCTTCAAGAATCTCAAATGTCACTTGCCCAGTTTGGCCAAAGGACTCATGGATCTCATTACATGCTTGGTCACTTGGCACTCACATGGTAGGAGAAAAACACACAGAGAAGTAACCAGTGAGCTACAGCCTGTGCCAGTAACCTCTAAGACTACAAGAAGGCAGGAAAGAAAGTTTAAACTTTCTAAATCTAGCGTTCTGTCAGAGCACAACTGGCTACTTTCTTCATATACAGACATCTATATCTTAAGTTGTACTCACTAAGTTAGTTTTTTCTTTTTATGGTAAATATGAGTATCTAAATATTGTCATGAGGAGCCCTTACCTTGATATTGCGTGCATCATATGAGATCCTGTGGTCAGTCACTCTGTCCTGGGTGAAGTTGTAAGTACGAATCCTCTCTGACTGAGCTCTTGTTCCCAACTGCAGCAAAGCAGGAAAAAACAAAATCTGTTGTGTTTTAAAAAAACCAAATAGTTCTCTAGAACAGGATGCTTAAAATAAACTGTAAAGGATCAGCCTGTTCCAACTACCTACCTAGTGGTCACTGGCTTGGCATTACTGAACTGCACGGTCTGTGAGTCTGTATCACAAACAAAGTTTCTACATCCTCCAGCACATTTCTGTTCCCCCTCTGTAGCTGAAAGAACCACACAGCTTTCAGAGGCCATGTAAGGTACCAAAGTCCTTACTTCAAAAATTATACAAGTGGGGTTTTCTGGGGGGAGAGAGGGTTGTAGCTTCCACACAAAATAATGAAAATAGGCTCCATTAATAATGGAAGCAGCACAGTCAATGTGTGGCTGTCAGAAGTTAGCACCAAAAGAGGCTTAGAGTAAGAAGTGAAGTTACCCTCTAGTGGTGAAATGTGAGAGTGCAAATAACAATTTTAACTTGAAGCAGAAACCCAAATGTAGCACTGTTGGGATTAAACACCTCACCAAACACTGTGGTCTCCACTAAAATGGTAAATTAAATGTTAAAAAACGCTCAGAGAAATAAATAGATGTCCGTTTAAGTGGGCTTTGGTGAAAATTTCATCTGCACCCAACACGTATATTTTAGAACATGGAATTTCTTGAATAAATTCCAAAGCATTAGGAAATGTAATTCAATTTTGCCTGATTTTCCACACTAGTCATATAAATTTAGAAATAGAAATAGAAATAGAAATCCTTTAATCAGCTTTGAAGTCTCTCAAACTGAAATTAATAACAAAAGATAAATGGCTCACTGCTTACAAAGATGGGGTTAATAATCTGCAGGGACAATACACTTAAATGCAACCTGAAATAAGTGACTAAATAGCTGAGCTGGAAAATCTGGAGTACTGAGTAATTCTCTACTTCTGAAGCATTTTTATTCCAATAGATCACTGTTGAAGTTTGAACCACAAATGGGAAAATACTCAAAGAATGGGAAAAGAATGACAGGACATTTCAAGCAAAAAGCACACTTTGCAGCCTAACTTGAGGTAACTCTTCCAGAAGCTGTTTCTTCCTCAAAAGGTTACCTAAACTGTATCAAATAAGCTGCTACTTAATTGCATAGTGGCAGGAATGCTCATTTACTTGTTTCTCTTAAAGCCTCCATATGGCCTTAAAATAGTCTCCTTTAGAAACTTCTGAGAATTCCTGATCCTAGTTTCCATTGAATGTAAGTTTTTATTGATGCGTAACTTGTGCAACTCTGGCCTTAATGGGGGCATTCAGTACACGATGTTGAATTTTCCCTTCTGAAAAATTTCAGCCAGTCTTTTGACCCTTCTTTCCAGCCACAGTTGATGTCTCTTTTCATTGCATGAGAAGTCTACAATACCATTGCACCGGGGTAAGTAAGGGCAGACTTACCATTTTGAAGGACAAGATTCTCCTCCCTTGTAAGCACCCCTAGTTTAGACACACACTCTCACTTGCTGTCCCCTCACCCAAAGAGATGAAAAACAAATCTACAACACAGATCTCAGCTTGCCTCACCTGCAGCTTCCTGGCGCTCTGCTCCTGACTGAGCTGCTTTTCAAGCACCTGCTGGTAGAGCTTCGCTCTCAGTGTCCGCAGGGCGATCTCCTTGTTCAGCTGCTGCGACCGCTCCTGCTGGCACTCCACTGCCAGCCCTGCAGAGAGGCACCCCAGAGCCCATCAGGGCAGAGAACAAACAAGCTGAATTCATTCTGACACATTAAGCACTACTGGAGTGCTGGTCTGTGAGGCCTCACACACTGGCTAGAACGATTAGGGCGTTTTTAAACTTGTCACAGCTGCACCGGTGGGTTTTTGTTCTGTGCTACAGAAAAGTCGGGAATATTTTAAAATTTCATTAAGCAATCAAGTTTCTGACATTGCCATAAGAAACTGGGCTCACTCCAATTAGCTGTCACATGTTAAAAATGCAATTTGAACGGTCTACAAGAGCATGTTTAAAAGAGTGTAACACAAGTTTTTAAAATCTTAGTCCAGATAAGCTCTTGGAGACTGGAAAATTCATTATTCTAGGAGAAAGGAGTGCCTAATCAACACTGGTGAGTCTTGAACTTAATTATGAAAAAATAGATAAAACAAAATAAAGGTCTTTAAAATAAATGTGTAACTTCCCATTTGATTTCTGAAAGAAAAAGGCATATAGGGAACAGCTGTTTTCAGGTCAATTTCCTGTGCCTAAAGTGATTCTGCATCTTACGGAGAGAAGCTCACTGAGTTTCAATAAAACAAATCCCAAAAAAGACAGAGTGGTCCTTCCATCAATATACATTTTCCTCTCTATCCAACGTATGATAGCATTATCTAGTATTGAATGAAGATCTTCAAGCCTTCTTTTTAATCAGCCATGTAACTACACAAATTCCAGCTAGCCTAAAAGCATGCCCTTGGTTGCCAGTGGCAATTACTCCTGAAGGTACAGAGCACACAAATGATGCAAATTATTTACATCTTCTACGCCATCCCTGTCACCCTCCATTTGTTCTTTCATCCTTCAAAGACAGTGTATTCATGAAACCCTCCCTCTGAAGACAGAACTGGCATAATCACTGTGCCCCTGGTACACAGCTCCTTTCTCACACTGCCTGGCTACAAGAGGGACAGAAACAGAAGGGACTACTTGTCTTTTTTTTTGGATTAAGTCCCAGCCCTGCCAGAGGCAACCTGCAGGATCACAAGCTTCCTTTTCAAGATACAGAGTCAGTGTGATTAAAAGTGCAAAGTACGGCCAGACTTACCTGTAGGAAGGTGCACAATCCTCACAGCACTGTCAGTTTTGTTAACGTGTTGCCCTCCTGCTCCTTTGGCTCTGAACGTATCTATGCGCAAATCTTTGGGATCCACTTTAACATCAACCTAAAATCAAAGAAAATTACTACTTTCTACTCATTCTAAAAATATTTGGATGTCAGTGACAGTGAGCATTAATAAGAAATCACTTCTCAAAAATTGCTCCTTTACAACTGTTCCTAAGTAACAATCATAATCATTATAATTTAAAAAATGCAGTATCAAATATCTCTGAAAAGCAAACGATGCCTTAAAGATTTCACTTAGTTTTTCAAATTCTTACTCCAGGTGCTTCACAAAACAAGGTATGTGTGCGTGTCAAACAAAACACAATCACTGTTTGCAGAACCACTAGCTTTGGCAGAGAGGCTAAGAAATAAGCAAATATTTAAAAACCACATCTAAACAGCAGTGCAAGGATCTTGTTCATGAGTCAAGCCTGAATGATTCTTCCAACAGTACTTAGAATCATCTGAGGAGAAAACAGGCATATCCAGATCTATTCAAGTAAGGACTGCCACCCTGGAAATAGGAGTCCATGATGACCTGGACCACAGTTTGAGCTCAGTGGATGGGAAAGGAACATTCAGATCTGACCAATGTTGCAAGTAAAGTATAATGAAGAAGCAGAAGAAAGTGCAGAAAAAGCCTACAGGATCTGGTTTTGTTTATTTTTTTGTGTAAATTGGTCTAAGTGAGAACTGTTCATATCAGTGAGATCTCAGAGTAGCCAACACATTCAAAGGAGACCGTCCTTGATTCACCAGAGAAGGGCACCAATAAATTACATGAAACAAAAAAAATCAAAAGAATGTACAGAATCCCATCACTATGCAACACTGAGTATTTTCTTGGATATATTCTGTGTCTTAGTATGTGATGTAATTTAAAATTGGCTTACTCATAGCAGTGAGCCTTGTCAGTGTTGGGGCTGGAACACTTAAATAAATGATCACCCACTTACATGCCATTTCAGGCAACAGCAAATCTCTGCAAAGTTGCTTCTGATGATCCATTTATACACGTAAGGTACAGAGCCAAGGACTATCACCTCCCAGAGTCAAAGCCCTTGTGTTTCATTTGCTGGGACTTGCATGAAGCACTTGGTTATCAGTGAAATCCCCAAAACAGTAACAAGGTTTTAAATAACACCTACTCCAAAATGGGTGAGCAGGGTTCACCTTACCAAACCAATGAACAGTTTACCTCCTCTGGCTGAGGGAGGACAATGACTGACATTGTCCCAGTGTGAATACGCTGCATTCTTGATGACATGCCCGTCTCAGGGATTCGCTGGACTCGGTGAGTCCCTCCTTCATATTTCAGATGCCTGTAGACATTCTCTCCTGAAATATGAGCAGCAGCATGATGCAAGCCTCCTGCAGAGACAAATAGTGTGTGACAAATACAGCAGAGAAACTGTACTCCATTGTCTTGGAATCTCTGAAGAACTGCTGTACCTATCTCAGCCGGCGTATAGTTCACAATGTCAAAGGTCCAACGTTTGTAGTCGGCATAGCTCTGGTACATGTCAAACATTTCTTTAGTGAACTGTTGGCAGATGTCCCCTAAAAATTACAAGGCATTACCACATAAACAGCACTTTTTAGATTTATCTGCAACTCTAACCCCAGTTATTAGGCAGGTTAATGCTCATCTTTACTTTATGCCAGTAAAGTATAAAAAAGGCTTTAAGAATAAACCATAAGAGGTTTAATGGAGTTGGATGGAGGTTGGAAGTAATCTTCACTGTAGGGGCTTTGCTGACCTCCAGTTGTTCTGCCAGCTGTCACTTCTAATATGACAGGACTTCTATCATATTTTTCCTTTGGCACTAGAAGCTGGAAAAGCTGAGGAAAAAAAAAAAAGAATGCCATTATCTCTGTCATGACCCTGGATCTTCTCTTAATCAAATTTACAGCCAGACTTCACAATTGCCACAGCCTGAGCACACACAACCACTGCCTTCCTTTGACAAGCTAGTTAAGTAGGACTAAAAGCTGTCCAATGACCATTGCAACTCAGTGCAGTCAGTGTGGAAATGTGACTTGCTAGTGCATCCACATGAAAGAGAGCTGAAAGTCCAGTCCTGCCAAGTCAGGTGCCAGGTCACCCATCCCAGCCCCAGCTACCTATGAAGACAAAGTTATTAACTAACCCAGCCAATTTTTAGATTAATCTTATTTTTCAGAAAGTCACATTTCATATTATTTCAGTCTGAGTATAGAAATGAGCCCAAACACAGTGGTCTCCACTGAATTGTTTCAACTTCTTTGCATTTATTTTCCCCACTCATGGGATGCTGTCAGCTGAAGAGAAAATGAAGGACTGCAAGTTCCAATAAGAAATCCCTCAAGAGTGCATGGTCCACTGCCACAAACAGTTACTAGGATGTTATGCCAAATCTCAGTAGCACAGACTCACCACTTTTTTAATCCCTTTCAGCATTTGAAGATAGACAAGTAAGCAAGAGAAATTACTCAATCATCTCCTAAGACACAATTGTCACTAAGAAGCTTATTAATAATTAATGTTGCCACTTCTTTTCAGGGAGAATACAGAAGCTGGACTTCTGTTTCATTAAACTCAAGTGTCAGAATCTATTAGTAAGATCACAGAGGAAAGGTTTTCTGACATCTTTATTTACAAAGCTGTAAAATTTTACCTCAGGCTCACCTTTCTGCACAACATGTTCATTTTTTTATCCAGGCTTTCCTTCTCTTCTAAGGCAAGCTCTAGAAGTTGTTTCTCATCTCTGCTGTCTAGTTCTAAATTCGAACAAGAGGAATACATGTTAGCCAATCTCACCTAGAGCAAATTATAACACAGTTGTCCAAAGACATGCACTGCAGCACAGAAAAGCTTGTAGTGTTTTGCCAGCATAAAATACTAAATAAGAGCAGCCCAAGCTAGGATGCACATTGCTAACTCAATGACCGTATTTTCCAGGTGTGCTAGAAGGAGCAGCAGATATTTTACCTGTGATTAGACAGCCCCATCCCACATTTTAGAGCTTACTAACAAACTACGACACATTCTCAGGTAAAGCTCACAGAAGCTCCAAGCCTTTTCTGCTATGGAGGCTCCAGCTCACAGCAACAAAAAACATTGATCAGTCAGCAATAGATTATACACTAAATAGAAACTTGGAAGACAGTTGGAGTCAAGTGGAAAAACTGTCACTGCTAAAACAGGGAACCCCCTCCCCTTTTCATCTTACTGTCCACTTTTCTACTCACTGAAATTAAAAAGCAAGTCTGATTGAATAAGCACACATTTTTACCGTGCCAAGTTGAACTAGATTTAAATTACAACTGGACAATTACCAACACAAATGAGGAGGGAATGGCTGAAGCCAGCTTTGAGCAGCTGCGAGTAACAATGAGGGAACAAAGCAACAAAGAGAAGGTGAAAACCTTCTGCCTCGTGGCTAGCATGGAAACCATAGGTTTGTCTCAGATGCAGCATAAAACTGGACTCTCAACTGCTTCTAGCTGGTCCAAAAAGTATTGATCAGTCAGATAAACAGTATCAAATTAACTACTGTCAACAGTGCTGAGAGATGGTCTGGTGGTGACCAGTGAGCTTAAGGTTCAAAGGATTGAACCCATGGTATCCCATTCCTACCTCCCTTCAAAACAGAATTCACTTAACCTACCTTGTGACTCACGTCACCAGAGGGAAACTGGGAAATATTTTTCTGCTTCACTAAGTGTTGCAAATATAAAATCCTACATCAATTGTCAGGAATTCAGGTAGTAGAGATAAGAGGGTCAGTTAGGGAACTAAGTGGAAAACACTGAATAGCCAAAGGAAGGGGACATCTGTGTTTTAACTTGGCCACAAGATAAATGGTACAGACAGAATAATGTGGCTCTATTTAATTAATTTATTGTCTGTAATTTTTTACCATTCTTTTCCCTTCTTTCAACTAGACCTCACACCATCCCTCCACATCATAATTTATGGAATTAGAAGAAGTCTTCATTATATTCATTTGATTCAAAAACAGCCTAAGTTGAAATATTAATTTTCCAGAGTTTTCTTAATATTTTTTAATTATTTCAAGAGTATTTATCTTATTAAATTTTTGTACCTTGTCTCCTTCACTCTTTCTCCTCTTTTCTCCAGGGAAGAGAATTAGAGAGGGTTGAGGATTAAAACATTTTAAATAACAATTTTTTTTCCAAAAGCACAAACATAATTTTATTTTTAAAACTAAAGTATACAAATGTTTTCTACCTGTCTAAATAAGCTACATTTACATCTTTATTTTATTATGTCTCTTACTGTTTTGTCCAAACCCCTTGTCTCTCTCTCTGAAAAGCACCATGAACTTTTGTCCTCCTCCGTTTACACTGCTGGGTACTGATTTCTCCTGTCCTTTGATTTTCCCCTCCTTCACTGCTTTAATGCAAACCCCATTCTCTGCAGGTCAGTGTTTCCCTCTCTTGGCTTAATACTTACCACTGTAGCAGCATGGATTCCATTTTTGCCTTCCTACTGTGTGCACCTCCTCACACCTGTAACAGTACTGGGTTTTTTTCCCAAATGTTGCACCATTACTTATTTTGTAAATTCTTTTATATATTCACTGTGTACTTTCTTATTCCTAAATAATACAAAAACCAGTGACAATTTTTCATTATTTTTTACCACAACTTCTACTGCAGCAGACCATTGAAAAACAGCAGCTTCTTAAACAACCATCATTCTTTATTCCTTAAAGGACTCCCCAAATATTTTCAAAGAAATATTAGCTTTTGCCATTTAAATTGGAAGCTGACAACTCAGAGCCTAATGGAAGTTCATGTCATTTGCTCAATAAATATCACTGAACTGGTCAGGTGGAATCCCATTTTAAATAACACAGCTGAGGTCTGCATCTATCAAAGGTTTTAGCCTCGCTAATTTTTTTCTTCTGTTCGAACTGCTCTCAGTTCAACCAAAAAATAACCTCAAAATGAATGCTTTCCAACTATTTCTGTTAGATGGATATCCCTGAGGTTCCAGACAATCCCTACTCCCCCAAAATTACCATATTAAGACCTCAAACTAAAGTGAGGTGAGATGAAAAACAGAAGGATGTGACTGGATGCAGAAAGCTCTTGCAACATACAAGTTCCTGGGAGCAGGGAGGACCAGGGAGTATTCCATGGCTGGCTAAACTTACTCACAAGCTTTCCTTAAAGGCTGGGCAATGACATTTATCACAAGCACAGCTGCTCTTCTGAAGCAATCAAGTAGATGTGTTTTCCTTTACCTGCGCACATTGCTTCTAACTCCTGAACTTCTCTTTCAGCCTCTTTGATTTCTTGAAACGCAGCTGCAATGGGGGACAGATCAGCACATCTTCTCCTCAGGGCTCTTTGCTCAAAGTCATTTAATGAGTGTGCACTTAACTGATGACTAACCTGCTGGTATTCCTTGCTGAGAGACTCCAGATACTTCTGCACAGCCTCATGCTTCCACAAAGCTTGAGAATCCTGATGGTTTTTTCTGTGCCAACTTTTAAAAGACAGAGTGAATCTAGCTGTGTCCAATAAAGGTTTTGGCCTCCAAAATCCATGGTTGTGCAGTCCCACCATGCAGCCTATCTTCTTTGCAACAGGAGGGAGAAGACAGCTGTCAAGTTGGCTGTGACAGCAGCAATTGGCAAGCAGGCTCTTGAAAAGGTAGACCTTTCGCAAAGGCTTCATTTTGTTTCTTATTTTTCCACCACCTGAAATTAAAAGTTCACAGTACATTGGCCAGTGTTGTTATCTAGAAAAAGAAAGCATTCTAGTTAAAAACCCCCACAACAAACAAACACAAGGACAGTATCCAGCCCATATCCTGGTTTCAGTACACCGACACAAATGCAACTGTCATTGACAAAACTACTCCTGTTTTAGTCCTAGTTTAAACCAGAAGCTCTTATCACTACCATTGTACTGACTGAGGGTTGGAAAAAGTCTTTTCTCTCCCCTCCCCAAACAGTTTATTTATACTATGGAAAAGCTCCTGTGGATGAGGCTTTACTGACAATAGCTTCATTTTTCCATATATCTCATTAGAAAAATCTAACCATTTCATGCCTTACTGATGAAAGAAAAATGTTGCTGAGAAGACAAATCAATACTAGAGGTAAAGAATTCTATACAGAGAATGTAAGAAATGTCCAGAATTATGTGCCAAATTATATCCACTACCATAAAAGGAGGACATTAGTAGATGACCACACAACAGATCAGTCAATAGGACTGCAATGCACTTACACAAAAATCACTCACTCATACATGAAGAAGACAGGAGAAGTTCTTTACGTGCTTTATGTCTCCTGCATACTCCTTACTATGATATATTTACACTTAAACAAGGTAATATTTTCCATCCAAAAAGTGAGTAAGAAGCAGGTAGTCTGAAATACAACTCCTGTATTTTTCTGAGACATTTGGCCTACAGTTTTATACAACCCAGGCTCCGTTAGCATTACTGCTGCTCTATGAAAGATCACTTCCTCTTATATCATCAACATTGCAAACTATGTTATGAATTACTATTGTGCTTTAAAATTTTATATTGGAGTGCAAGATTCTACCAGGGAGGCAACATTGAGATCACACCTATTCTAGGGCTACTCACACAGAAACTTAACATACAAAGAAGCATTCCTAGTAACCCTGCCAGTGCCACGATCCCATCTGCCCACTGATTTCTACAAAAAAGTGGATTCTGAGAAAATAAGAGCATGAACCTTTTTGCAACAAGACCTCCTGGAAACACACATTTCAGTTTCCTGAAAAAAATTATTTTTTACTCATCAGTGACAAGACCTTCTGTGCATCTTCATGCATTTTACTAACAAATTACTTTGACACTCTAACTACTCAACTCACCCATTATTCTCACCTATTTACTGTCATGCATTTGTCCATAAAAAAGAAAGAGCAATATGCAGTAGAATCAGAAGTACTGCATCTTGTCTGAATGCTTGATTTACTACCTACAGAAGGAGGCAAGGATCTTTATTCTACTTCTGTACCCTCCCCAGATTCCCCAGCCAGCAGCTGCTATCGAATCCACAGCAGCAACTTCAAGATTGCTTTAACATACAGAAAGCAAATTATACTCCTCCTGGATTGCTATAGTGACTAAAACCAGTTGCAGCAGAGAGATCCTCTTCCCTTCAACAGGAACACAGCAAAAGGCACAAATCAGGCTCATAATCTATGATCCTGGATTTAGGCATAAGTGGACTCAGTGCCAAAAGACCTAATTCTGCTGATGAATATGGACTTGCTCCAAGATCAGCATGGCCCATTTTTGTTTGGCTAAGTGCTGACCATCATCAACTCAATTTTAAATCATTAATGTTATATTTTATTCCAATTAATTCATTAAACATATTAATTACAACCATCTAGCTAACTTTTACTGGTGTAGTTAAGAAGCAATGTACTCAAATTACACATTTGCTGTATTGCTTTGCCTGAGCTCTCAGAAGTAAAATTATTGGGGTTTAAAAAAAAAAAAAAAAAGAAAAAAAAAAGAATAATGAATTAACACAGACCTTCAAGGAAGTCAGAGGCTTCAAAATAATTTTGCTATGTTAAATAAAAAAGGTATCTCCTTCTCAGAATAGGGCTGCCACACCTTATTTGCATAAACAGACATATAACTTTTACAGAGCTATAAGCATTAAATGACCTATTAACTGATCTCCAAACCAGATTTTAATAACTTTTAAGTGTGCTTAAAATTACCTCGTGCACACCACAAAACAAAAACCAGTAAGCGAAAGTGACAATTATAATTGTCCAATTAAGATAATATTAAAAAAAAATAATTTCAAGGCAGGAAAGAACTCTCAATCTTGCGAACTCTTTCAGACATTATAAAACGCATTTCTAACAACCAAGGATGCGACCGGCGCCACGCAGCAGCACTGAGGCACACAGGAACTGGCAGGTGCAGGCAGGAGGAGGCACTCCAGTGCTCAGCGACTGGATCAGGGGCAGCTCGAGCCGCGGGAGCACCTCCCGCACACCTGGGCCTCCCACCACGGCCCCCCAGCAAAGCCCCCCAGAGCCGCACAGGGAGCGCCCCGGCAGCCCGGCCTCGCTGCGGGGCTCACGGGGCAGGGAGAGGCAGGAGCGGGCAGGGAAAGGAGCGGGGAGGGAGAGGCAGGAGCGGGCAGGGAAAGGAGCGGGGAGGGAGAGGCAGGAGCGGGCAGAGGAGGCGGGAGCACCGGCGGGGCGGGGGCTGCGCTGCCCGGCGGGGCTCCGGCACTCACCGTCCGCACGCCCGGACGCCGCGGGGATCCCGGCCCGGCCCGCGGGCCCACGGCAGACGGGAAGTGCAGCGGGCGCACTCCCAGTCCCAGCATGCCTGCGGGAAAACGCGCTTCCCGTCCCCCCGCTGCTCGGGCAGCGCCTCAGCCACGCCGGCGGCAAAGGCAGCCTCCGCCCTGCGAATCTGGTTAGTAAAAGATTAATTTCAGAGACGTCTGAATAAAATCGCATTAAGCGCCACTTTGTGTCAAAGCTCACTATTCAATTCTATTTAAATGAATCACTGCTATTCTACTAAAGGCAAACAAAATATTAATAAAAATTACCTTTCTGATTATGCTAGTTTGCTGCAGCTTCCTCATAAAGTACGCTTTCAAACATTGTATGTATGTGGACATTTTGAAAGCTATTATTAAATATTATACCACTACGTCCCTAATTAATTTTTAAAAAATATTTAAGCAATGGTTTTTTTATACCTATAACCACCAAAATACCTTTCTTCCCAGCTACTGTCATTCTACGAAATTAAAAAAAAAAAAAAAACAAAAGGTAAAACTTGTATTTGGCATGTAAAACATGGGCTTTGGTGTGGTATATATTCCAAAAGACTGAAAACGGGACCAATCAATGGATAGGATTCTGATCAAAGCTCAACACCTGAATGACAACTAACCGCTTGTTTAGGCCTGAGGACAGGTTCTGGCTCTGCTCTGCCTGTGGGTACAGGAGGCAAGGCACACAGATGGAAAACCACTTCCACAGAACAGGACCCACCCCAGAGTTGGTTCACAGGAAACAGCACCCTGAAATCTTCCCCAGGCCTGAGCCCACATTGATGTGCCATTAGAGATGTCATGAGCCAGACACCATTCCCATTGTATCTCACTCTTCTTCCATTATGACTTTCTGGGGCTCAGTGAAATGAAATAATAAAATTGTACTTGCATTGGTACTCTAAATATGCAACTTGATACTTAAAAATATTGAGAAGGTCCTCTCTGGGAGGACAACCAAGAACCTAATAACTTGAAACTGCAAGTAGACCTCATGCTCCAAAATTGGTTTAAAAAGAAGAAGGTAGGCCAAGAAAAATCAAATCAGCTTCTACTCCAGCCAGTTCTTGCATTAAATCCTCTGATTAAACATGATCATGTTCAGTTTTTATTATGCCTTGTGGGCAAATGTTTTAACTTAAGTGTGAAAAGAAAGACTCTAACAAAGTCCTGCTCCCCGCTACCAGGCAGCAGAGCATGCAGGGGCAACACAGCCAAGACAAGAGCTGGATTCTGTGCAGCCAGCAGGGCTGCCAGGGACCATCCACCACAGGACCTGTCCATGCATCTCATACTCAAAACATGGAAGATACACTCTTTCCTATGGTGTGCTTTTAGACTGCAGCATGGGAACTGAGTATGAAGGATGTGGAATCTGCTTCTACCCCTCTCACAGCTTGTTTCAATGCCTTAAAGCCTGCATGCCTGAAGCAGCAGCTGCTGATGGAACTGGTGAGGATAAGGGGTTATGGGGCATGGGCTGTTTGGGGCAGGGTGCCACCACCTTCCTCAGCAGCCCACAGTGACACTGGGTGCAGAAGGGAAGAGTGACAGCAGGAAGACAGCTGGGCTCCGGGACTTCGGGATACATAGAGCAGTCCTGTACTTTAAAACCTGGCACTATTAACCTGCCAATTTAGAAACTGGAGGCAAAAGGATGGCTCGTCAGACAGAACAGGCTCCAGGCCTTGCAACATGCTTGGCTTGAAAGCAGGTCCATGCCCACGCAGGGGCCCCTCTTCACCCAGGGGGCCCTAACTGGGTTTAGTGGTGTGCGAGCATCTCCCCGCAGCTTCCACAGGAGCAAAGTGACACATCCCGCAAAAACAGCAAACTTGTTACAATGTTCACTTCAATATTGTTCTCCCCTTTCAGCCCAAACCGTTCAGACTTCTGCAATCTTTCTGTTTGAAGGAAAAAATGGTGACAGAATCATATGCGTCTTGAATACAGTCCTGTTTATTAACAAAGCCTGTAGAGAGAGCTTTGTTTTGCCCAGCACAGTGGGATTAAATGACAAGAAGTTTTCTTGACTGCACTCCCAAACCTCACTTTCAGTTGGAGCTCTGCCTTCCCACAAAGCTCATTTCTTTGTTTATTCTCTCCCAGCTAGCCTACAAACGTTTCTTTTATTGCCTCCATGCTTTCCTTTTCTTGCTGCTTTTAACAGACTTTTAATACGGACACATCTAGATGCAAATTGAACCCCTGCCTCTTATTTGCAATCTGCCTACTTTCATACAGCATTCTTTCCAGTGTTTGTACTATCAGGAAACAGAGACCTTTAGCTATTAAGAACTTATTGCTTCAGATCAAAGGTCCACCTAGCACAACATTTGTCTAACCATTCTCCATGATGCATCGGTTTATCATTCAGCCCAGAGGCATAATATGTCTTTTGCCAAGACAGAAACCAGGGTTCATAGAGTTGAGGCTTCAGCTAGTTGTTAGAAGTGCTGAAGAAGTGCCATGGTCCAAACAGGCTCTGTTTGCCTGTTTGATGCTGCAGGGCAAAGCCAAGGCTGCCGTCCCTCTCAGTAATACTCCTGCTTTGTAAAAATTGGATACCCAATGCAGCACTACTACAGCATATAGCAGAAAGAACAGTGAATTGGGTACTGCATGTGGAAAACACATACTGTTGTCAGTGACCCTGCTGACATCATTAGAAGCATGCCAGACCAAAAAAATTGAGAAATAAACACAATAGAGATATTTCTTATGACAGACCATACATCTAGACAGATTAACAAAACACTGTGAAAACCAACAACCATTCACTAAAAGTGTCCATAACCTGATGGCTCAGCTATAAAGAACCATATCAAAACATATACTTTACATTCTTTTCTATTTTCTTTTTTTTTTTTACTTATTAGTCTACAAGTTATTAGGCTGACATGCAGGTTACTCTCTTCCAAGAAATTGTCTACTGTCTTGTTCCCTCTGTTAGCTGGAAAGGAAAGCAGCTATCATGTCATCAGCTTCGGCAAGGCTTATGTCAAGTCAAGGACATGCTGCTTGGGATCTTCAATCTCACAGCCATCTGCTCACCGAGCACCAAATAAAATATATTAAGTACACAGACTTTCTAACTGTCTCTTGTTGAGTTTCTGTTTCGCACACACTTGCTTTACTTGGGGATATCGATCGTGTTCATCATCTGCGACTGTAGGTGGGTAGCCATATCATTACAGAACTAAGATACTTTGAAATAAATGCCAAAATAGAATTAATATTTTTAAAGGTTAATTATATAAACAGAGATTTTAATTGCAGTCGCCTAGTTTGTTTTCCCCATAAGATGGTCTTTTTAATTGGTTGTAACCTTGACAGTTAACCCATTTTCCTTTTAAGTAATGCCCTGGGCCATGTAATTTTAGCGTTCCTGGTTGTTGGTGGTTTTGTTTTTACGAACGATTTTTGGGAATAACAAGAAAAAAAAATAAAAGACCTTAGACCTCCTTCGGTGAAGGAGCCAAGCGATGAAAAAACGCCGCTGTTCTGTGGACGCACGATGGTGTCGGGAAGTTTTACATAACCAACTGCTGAAAATGCCTTAATGCGACGGGGGCCGTCCCCGCTTGCTCAAAGCCTGGCTGCCAAGTTTGCTGTTGTTTCCTTAAATACCAGCCAGGGCACTGCAAGCCCGCAGAGCCTCTCCGAGCCCCGCCGCCGACAGAGGCTGCGCTCCTTCCCAACGCCGCCTCCCACCCAGGCTTGCGGGCAGCCTGGCTCTCCGAAGCGGCCGTTTGAGCGCCGGGAGCGGAGCGCTTCAGCCGCCACCCCGGGAATAGCACCGGGAATCACGGAGGGAATCCTCACTCCGTGCCCTGGGGCCGGGCGGGCGGAGGGGGTGTCTGTGAGGGGGAGCGGCACCGCGCCTGCGCCGAGGGGACCCCGGTGGCCATTTTGCAGCGTCAGGCGGGCTGCGAGGCGCCCCGGCAGCTGCGCAGAGGGGCCCGGGGGAGCCGGCGGGGAGGGCGGGCGGCGCAGGGCTATGAGTTAAAGTGCCGCCGCCGCCGCCCCGCCGAGTTCGGGCTTTTCCTCCCCGGCGTTCCCCCCTCCTCCCGTCCCTCGTACCGACAGCCGCCCCTCCCGGGCTGCCCCCACCCCCGCCAGCCGTGCCTGTCCCAGGGCCGCCCGCGCCATGCCGTCCGTGCCGCTGCCGCCCAAGGAGAGCAACCTCTTCAAGCGGATCCTGGTGAGCCACCGGCCCCGCTCCTCTCTCCTTCTCCCGCCGCCGCTTCTCCCTCCTCTTCCCTCTGGCTCGCCGGCCTCGCTCGGTGCCCTCCGGGTCACTTCGCCCGCCGCCGGAGTTGGCCCCGGCTGAGCGCACACGGATGCGGCGGCCGCGCTCGCCGGGGGGAGCCGGGCTGCCGTCGCCTCCTCGCCCCGGTTCGTCCCCGCTTCCTTCCTTCCTTTGTTTGGGGCCCGCCGAGCAGGCCGGGCGAGCCACCCCTGCTCGTGTTGGCGGCCGGGAAGGGCTGGTGTGGCCCCCGGCCGGGGGAGGGCGGGAAGGAGGGAGGGAGCCCGGCAGCCTCCCCAGGCCGCCGAGCGCCTTCCTCCCGCCCGCCGCGGGGACTGCGGGGCGAGCCGGGGCTGCGCCGCCGCTCCCCTGCGCGCTGCGCCGATGGAGAAGACCTCGAAGCACGGTGCGAGTGGAGCAGTGTTTGCTGTTGCTTGGTTAATTGCCATCTGCGCTTCATTTCCAGCGAGAGCTTCGGTTTTGGTGTAGGAACCGGGTTAAAAGTAGTTCGCTCGCTCAGCAGTTTTGAGTGTAGTTGAAGACGTGTGGTGGAATGAAGTATCTTGCTTCTGTGTGTCCTTTGGAGGACTTGTCTCAACTCCTTTGTGCTGGGCGAATTCCGCTCTTTGAGACTTAACGGTGCAAGGGACGTTTAGTGTTTGCGAGATAGCTTTGAAGGATGAGCTCTCTTTAGCTGTGAGTTTCTAACTCGATCACTATACTTTATCATGCTAAAACTTTATCGAAAAAAAAAGCCCCACTCCTCCTTCCCGAGACAAAAAAACACCACACTCCCCTTTTCGCGAGCTTGTCAGTGTTGATAGTAATGGAGTTCCAGCCCCAACAAAATTGAGGTGTTTTGTTTCATTTTACCACTCTGCAGGCAGAGGACGTCTGTGCAGCACACTAAGTAATCCTGCTGGCAGGCGCAAATTTCTTTAGTTCTCTCTGAATTAGTTAGGTAGTTTCAGTGCTTCAGAACCACAGTAGTGGTTCAGACGTACACATTTGGGCTTCAGGAAGCTGAGTTCAAACAGTGTCAGTAAGCTCCTGTACTCTGTACGGAGCTGTTTTTTTCAGCAAGTTCTTCAGAGCTGTTTTCTTTTGCGTGCTTTGTGTAGTATACAGGTTTAAAAAAATTACTGGTTCTTAATGGTGATTTGTTGCTTACTGCATGCTTATGGTATGCATCTTAGTAAGTCATTCTAGCACTCCTCTTTCTCTCGGCTAAAAATAAGTGACTAATATTAGAACAGTTAAGTGATTATTCTTACTAGCAGCAGACAAGTTCACAGTAGCAGCCACTTCTAAAGTTTTTTTCATTGGATTATAGAGTGGCTTTTCTGGAGATCATATTTTAGACAGTGTTTTTTAATATTAAACAGTGGATAAAACTGTTGGAAATTAGTGCTTAGGCTTAAAACTTCAGTGAAGTTCGTGCAGAAATTTACTTGGGTTCTAAAACTTTCATAAGCCTTTAACTGGTGCTGTATAGTGGCCAGTTGCACTTCCTAAAGTGTTGATCACAAAATTACTGGCTTGCCTCTTCATATAGTGTGTCTTCTTGAAACGTAATTTCTTAAAATTATTTTCTGACTAGCTCTGACTCTTTGTGGTGCACTTCTTTCTGGAATACTAATGTTGGCATACTACAAATGGAACTCTTTGGTTGCTTGACATGTCTCAGAGTGTTTTTGTTTAGTGGTATAGCTTGTGGTGCTAAAGGCTCTTTAATCAAACCAGCTTTTGCTTACTTTGGCACTGCTAGAATATTTTAAATGCTCATAGCACCCCTAGTATTTTCCAAAATTGGGGGCAGGGATTAAGTGGGAGGCTGCATAATAAGACCCTACAAGCATGTAGTGATTTAATCTCTTGGAACAGATGCAAGGAAATTATACTCATATATAATAAGACTTTAGTATGTCTATGAACGCTCTGCAGAGAATTAGCAGTTGAGAAAGGGAAAACTCATTTGGAGATCATGAGAAATCCTTCACAGTGACTCGGTGTGTGGATGTAACATGTAAGACAGGTTATCAATGTTCTGAGCAGGACACCCAAGTAACAGCAAAGCTGACAGAGCTGCCCTGGCTAGTGTGGCCTCCTGGAGATCAGTGTAAGCTGAGAAGTCTGCTCGAGAAGCTGAGTAAATAGTCTTTAAGCCACATCAATTTGTGTGCTTGCATGCTTGGCAGGGCTTGAACAAGCTGACTTAAAACTAGCAGTTAGGTGATTAGGGAAGTAATAGCAATTGTAGCATAGGTAGTAGTCCTAGTTGATCAGGACTACTGTAAGGTGGTGCTAAAGCTCCTTTCTTGCTCTATTCTGTCTTCCAGTTCTGTTTTGTTTCTTTGGCTGCTTTCACTGTTCTGCAGAGACTTTCTCAGTCTCGGTGCTCTTTCCCTGGAAGACCCTGGTGCTTACAGGTGTGGTGTTCTTTGGGAGTAAGGGGCTGAGCAGCTTCAAGCTCTTCTCTTCCATTTCACAGCCCCACAGAAGGCATGGATGAAGTATTTGAATATGTTCCCCTCTCATGGAAGGAGAAAAGCATCATAAATGAGAATTTATACAGGAGTGCTTGTGTGTTTCTTGCCAATTAAAGTCAGTCTTCAGCTTAGCTGACTTTTTAAGTGAATGGGGCAGATGCTGTCTAAAATAAGCATACTCATGGTAACTTAGAAAGGCTTCTTGTTAAGGCTGAAGTTTGGTATCATGTGTTTGGATGTTTACTTCTAGTAAACTTACCCTGATCTTCTATTTTGTATATTTAAAATTGAGCTGTAAATTTACCTTCAGAGAATGTTTCAGTTTAAGCAGCTTTGATTTTTTTTTTTTTTTCCTTTACCCAAGAATTCATACTATAAACTGTCTTAGAGTTAATCTTAAACATTGGCTTTATGGAATCAAATCAGCTCTGCCTGGACAGGGCATGGCAGTAGTCTTTGTAAGTAGTCCAGTAGGCTTTAGAGTAAAGCCTTGGGGTTCTTGTCTTGCTTTCATGGCTCACTTGCCAAGTTGTTTTTGTTTTCAAGAAATGCTGTCTTCTAATATGTATTGGTGTGAGCCCAGGCTCATGAGGTGTAAGGTATGGTCTGATGTTTGTTTCATCTTTAATAGAAGTGTGGATAGTATCGTGCCTGTAACTGACTAATCCTTTGGTTTCTTAGTGAAGATTCCTCATATTCCTGTTGCCTAAAATAAGGTTTGCTGCTTTAATTGCAGCTGACTTCCAGACTTTTTAGTTGAAGTGTAATAGTTTAAGTATATAGCCTTGCAGCAGTGGGTTGTTGTTGCTCAGTTCATTCAGGCATGCATTTTCAGTTTTTCAGGGTAAGGAAATGTTAGAAATTACTTAAAGTGCCCTCTCTGATGACTTGTTTAACTTCTCTGTAATGTCCTTTTTGTTCTCCAACTTCTTCAATAACCTTAAGAGATTTAGTCTTTGATGAAATATAAATATACAGGTGTTAGTAAGATTTAATTAATTCTTACCCATAGAATTCTGAAAGCTTTTTAAAATTTTTATTTAATGAAATAATAATGGTTTATATGCATGCAACTAGTCAGTCTCTTGGGAATGATGTGGGGGAGTTACTGAGCTATTAAACTTGACAGTTGGGAAGTTGTTATCCTAATTAGGGTCTCCCAGACGAGATAGATACCATAGCTGAGGTAGCCATTATTAATCCACCACTGGAGCAGTGGAAGTTTGAAGTCTCTGACATTGAAGATCCATTCCTTTAAAAGACAGGAGTTTGGAGCAGTCACTTAAAATCTTCTGGTGTAACTTAAGACTGATTCTTTGTGTGGTTGTTGCTTGTGCTGCTGAGGACAGGCAGCCTAGGAAGAGGGTAAGCAGTTCCCTCCATACAGCCATTCAGATGAGGTGGTGAGGTTGCCTAGCCAGCTGCAAACTACTGAAATGACAGAATTGTGGAAGATAGATGCCAGGCTAGTGGTAACAGACAGTCGGTAAGAATTTCATAAAAAAATCACACACACATCTCAGTGACTTGAGAGTCTCATTTGGAGAAGACTTAATCCCAAACAGATATTCTTGGTTTAGTTTTTCAACAGGAGTTTGTGAAGGTCATCATGCAAGGCTCAGAAAGCAGGCTTCTGTGGAATGCTGTGGGTTGTTTCTTGATTCTGGACTTGTATTTATGCTTTTCTTTTAAAAATATTAATTTTTCAGAGTCAAGTCTCTCCATGTTTTATGCTGGAATTTTTTTCTTATTTGGCTTTTTATATGGAACAGAACAAGCACTGAATAGCAAGAAGAGTTCAGTTCTGAAGTATTTGTGGCACAAAAAGTGAAGGCCACCTGAAAGCTTTTATGTTTTTGGAGCAAGTTGAGTCATAACAAGTCAAATTGGTTGTAGATGAATGTAAGGCTTGGAAATCCTGATTTATTACAGACCTTGTATGGGCTGTGAGATGGATTGCCCCAAGATTTGAGATTTTTAGAGGTATTTGAAGTTTTATTAAAACAGTTTCCCCTATACACTGAAAACTGGTGAATCCTGGGCAAAGAAGTAGGCTGTTATGCTACTGCTCAAGTACACTGCAAGTCTATGTTTGCAGTGCAGTGTCCTTTGCTCTTTCCCTTGGTTCTTCCCCCAAACCTCCTTGGAAGGAGAAGTATGAAATTACCTTCTAGAGGGAGAAAGGCAAGTACCTACTTAACTTCTCAATCTTCTGTTCTATCTTCAAGCTATTGTGATTCATTTTGATTTTGGCAGAAATGGTGGCTGCAAAGTAGCAGGCTCCAAACAAGAAGTTGTTAACAAAAAGGTAGTTTTACTGTGGAACCCTTTGCTGCATGATGATGATTATTATTGATGATTATGATGATTATTAGCCATATAACAAGTTTTGGAACTTTGAAAGGTGTGTGGTGGGGACCCTCCACTCTTCTTGTGAGTGAAGATAAACCCTTTGGCTTGGAGTGTTGGTGAGGCACAAATAACTGGAGGCTGAGAACTGCAGTAGACCTTGTCTTGCTCAAAAGCCTCTCTCTCTGCATCCAGCCCTTGTATCTTACCTCTAGTGGCCTGTACC